AGCCCCGGGGCTCTCAGCCCGTCCCATAGGGAGGTGCCCCGGGTGTCCCCGCCACCTCCGCTCCCTCCTCCTGGCTCTCCCAGCGGTTCCCATCCGCCCGGAGCCGCGGAGCCCCGCGCTGCAGCCGAGCCCCCGGGGCGGAGCGGCTCCGCGCCCCGCTGGCTGCGCTCTGTGCGCGCACCCCGAGGTCCCGTTGGCTTTCTTGTAGCCATCTTCATCTTGTACTGATGTGCTGAGCTGCGTTCAGACAGCAGCTGGCCACCAAGCAGCAGGCGCTGCCGTGCAGACTCGAGCTGCAGGGCTCGCTGTCAGCCCCATGCAATGTATGCGCTCCCTGACCAGCCCCATCCCACCGGGTGCTCTCTGCCATCTATTACTGTCTCTTGAAAATGTGTCCTGCGATTCGGATGTGTATATAATGAGGATGATATACAGTTGTACCTCAGACCGAATGCGAGCCATCTGTCAAAAACAAAAGCTAAATTCTGTGTAATAAAAGCCACACAGTGATTGATATTTCACATTAAAGGGAGAGCTGAAAAAAGCAATTTTGTTTATGGGCAAACCTGCGTCTGGCACATTTTTCATATTGCATGAAGATGGAAATCTCACCTTATGGCTATAGATTACAGCTATATCTTGGTCTTCATAATTGTGGACAGGTAGGCATGTGACTCAATGTAAAGAGATAATTGCCCAGGTATCACTGATAACAAGTCCATCCGAATGCATTTTTTGGTACTTCCCAGAGGTGTGGTGTTTCCCATTCGCTGCACTGACAGAAATATGTGTTCTCCATTGGACAGACTCCTCATTTTATCGGTTTGTGAGTTTCCTGTGCTTCTTGCTCTCTTGTAATCTGTGCTGTGTGTCTGCAGGTCGGAGGGGGGAGGAGCAGCGTGGCTGGGAAAGGGATGGGGCAGAGCACACAGAGTGCTGAGAGAGAGCTCTGAGCGCCTCTGGATTGTGTGAAACCTTTAATTATTAACCACAGCGTTTTGTAGAAGTTTTTTACTTGAAATCACAGAGCTGCCTTAGAGCTGTTTGAGGGCATTGCCTCTGGAGAAGGGACCGTGTGTGCAGGGAGCCCCAGGCTGACGTCTGCATGACACACAGGGTCCTGGCAGGTCACACTGCAGCACGAGGTGGGCTGACTGCTTGCTGCTGTGCTTCTCTGCAAGGCGCGCAGTGTTCTGGCCCCACAGGAGGCTGACTGGGGACGTGAA